CCACTTCTCATCTGTCCCAAGCTATGTCGGTTTTGCTGGGTGAAATTGCAGGAAACCTGACTGTGCAAGAGATGGATCAGAAACCCTCGATACTAGCAGCCCTTCAAGGTTAGCCTTCAAGATTAAGAGTTCGACGCTGGTATTCTCCTGATGTCTGGAACTGCAATGCTGAACCAGTTTGGGATCCCATTATCGTGGGGGGTGGGGGCAGAGGTGGGTTTCACATAATTTTACCACCGGTTTCCTGCGCACCGAAAATGTGAGCACACATATGTTCAACCTTCCGTGTGTGCACTTTGATCATGCGTGCAGCTTGCATGCATGCATGTGGCTGTTGTTATCCGCCAGCAGTCCGCAGAGCTAGCAATGGAGTCGGACAGTGAGGAGGCTGCGGAGGACAATGGGCCAGTCCTGGAGTCTGGGGAAGGCCCGGATGAGGGCTCTGCATCGGAGGCAGAGAGGGGGCCAGGACCATCTGGGAGTGATGTGCGGACTCCAGAGCCTCCAGAGGATGACATCAGAGAGGCAGAGGAACAGGAGGAGCCTGTTCCTAGTGCACGCATGCGAAGAGCTGCCAGAAGGCAGGAGCAGCTAAAGCAAAAAGGACGACTCGGGAGTAAGGCCAGGAGATGATTGGCCCCTCCCATAAGGTTTAAAAGAGCATCAAAGGCTCTTGGCCACTTTGTAGGAAAGCAACGTTGCTAAATCTGTTTTCCAGTTGGTGTCTCTTGTTTCTGAACTTTGTGGGGCTTTGCCAAGAAAGGCCTTTGGCAGGGCGCCGAAGAAGATAAAGGTTTGTGATAAGCCAAAGGACTTTTTCTGAAGGACTTGTTTTGGAATTAATTTGGACTAAGATGAGAATGAAGTAATTTCCAGCTGTTATAATAAAATAGGTTTGTTTAAGACTAATTGTGTCTGGTAATGCCTAATTGAGCCTAGGTCACAACAGCAGCTTAGAAAATGTGGCTAAATAGGATGGCATAGCGCCAGGGTGGGTGGGTGGCAGGTCGCCACTACCAGTTCGCCTGAACCAGTACGAACCGGCTGAATACCACCACTGGGAGCGGGAATCCTTAATGTCTTGCTTCTCTACACAGGATCTCAGTCATTAGCTTTGAGACCCAAGAGTCAGACACAGAGCCTTCTTTAAAGTAAGCCTGACTCCTAGGGGCTCATTGAGTACATTTGTGTTGTTGTCTTGCAATAGTACAGAGCAATTTTGGGATGTTTTATGAAGTCTCTATCGGCTTGGAATTTCTTGGTGGTCTCCTATTCATGTACAGGTTATTATGTCTGACCCTGTTTAGCTTTCCCAAGGATCAGCCAAAGCTGGTTTGATGCTGCCACCTGCTGAGATGACGACATGTCAACCATGATATGATTACTTGTAGAACTGATTGTAACGGGTAAAGAATCTAGCTAGCTGTCATGCCCCCGTCGGAGTCTGAATCTGAGACGGAAGTTGAACAGCTGACAGAGAGCGAGAGAGCGGCTCCGTTAGCTGTGGAGGAAACTGGGGAAGGGCAAAGTCAGGCTGGACAGAGCAGGTGAGAGGTAGAACAAGGGAGAGGGAGTCGAGATGAAGACCAAGGCCCAACCCCTCCTCATCCGAGTGCACGCAGGGAAGAACGCAGAAGAGAGCAACGTGGGTTGCATGGCTTACGAGGAAGGAAACGGCCCTGATTCCCTTCACAGGGCACACCTGGGGATGGAGTTTAAAGGAGAGGCAGTTGGGAGGGGCATTTGTCGGGAACAAATGCTGAATTAATCTGGTGTTGAGAGTTGTGGCCTGCGTTCCTGGCATTCCCTCCTGACTGTTTGAATTACTGCCATGCTACTGTGTGCCTATCTTGTCTTGCTGGAATTATTCTTCCCATCTGGGATTCATTATCTTGAGTGATTGATTGCAGTCATTCTGCCTACACCGTTTGGACTGGAGTATCTGCAGTCAGAAGCTGCTACAGGTTTGTGGGAGAGTTTTTCTCCAGACCGGAGAGTAAACGGGATGTTGGTGCCAATAAAGGGACTCATACCGGTTCTCTGGCTGTGTTGCCTTCGTGCCATGTCCCGTCATTACACTAGCTCTTTCTCAAGACAAGTAGAAAAGTACTATCCAGATAAATGTAATGCAATTCCATACCGATTTTATGAATTGACTTTGAATCTCTGAAGCGGAGATGTCTACTCTGCAAAACACTGAAACGTGGCTTATCTCCCACTCCTCTATGTCCCCTCAACATGACAGAAGTGGCTGTGAAACTGCTTCAAATTTTTGCTTCTAGTCTTTGCCTTCATATAAGGGCTGATTTGGCAAGGAAGGCAGCAAAGCCATTCTGTATTTCCCCATGTGTCCAAGCCTCAACCTGATCTTTATATAGTATAACCCAAGGAACCACAAGGGGAATAAAAGACAGCAATTTATAAACAATATTTGTGGGAGAATGCTGCAATATTTTGATGAAAATCTCTTGAAGTGTTTATTGAACGGTATTCAGAGTCATATATGCCAGATGGGCATGTATATAAGATAGATAGATAGATAGATAGATAGATAGATAGATAGATAGATAGATAGATAGATGATAGATAGACAGATAGATAGATAGATAGATGAGAGAGAGAGAGAGAGAGAAGATAGGTAGATAGATAGAGATAGAGATGATTATCAGATGATGATCCATCATCTATCTGATGATAGATAGATAGATAGATAGATAGATAGATAGATAGATAGATATAGAGATGATAGATAAACAGACAGAGATAGAGATGAGAGATAAATGATATAGATGATAAATAGAGAGAGAGAGAGATGATAGGTAGATAGATAGAGATAGAATGATAGATATACATAGAGATGATAGATAGATAAATAGATAGATGATAGGTGGATAGATAGATGATAGAAAGAGAGAGAGATGATAGGTAGATAGATAGATAGATGATAAATATACAGATGATAGATAGATAGATAGATAGATAGATAGATAGATAGATAGATAGATAGATATAGAGATGATAGATATACAGAGACAGACAGAGATGAGAGATAAATGATATAGATGATAGATAGGTAGGTAGATAGATAGGTAGGTAGGTAGATAGATCTCATTATATGGTAATAGTTCATTCACCCAAGTTTCTCTCTTCACTTCTTCTTTCTCTAGGTGTGTCTTCTTCAGCCCTGATCCCTGCCAAACCTGAAAGGCTGAAAATCCAAATGAAAGGTGGGCAATGAAGAGTTCTTAATTAAAAGCCAACCTTCTTGATCCACTGACAGATTCGGTGGACGGGTGCACCTCACGCAACCAGAGTTCAGATAAATCCAGTGAGAAACAAGAATAGGAATTCTATATACTTGGAGAAATCAGATGTGAGCTGAGGAGGAAATGCCAGATACGCCCTAATTTTACATTTCTTCCCCTTGGTTTCCAGTCCAGATGCACCTTGTTTCCCCGACAATAAGACCCTGTCTTATATTTTTTTGAACCCCGAAATAAGCGCTTGGCCTTATTTTCGGGGAGGTCTTATTATTTTGGGGAGCATAGAGCAAGATGAGGCTCCTCTTGCCATCTTACCTGATTTTTAGCTCTGCGTTTAAATATTTTCAGGGAGGGCTTATTTTCGGGGGAGGTTTATTTTAGAGCATGCACTCAAAAGCCCGATTTTTGCCTGAGCTGCTCAACATGATAGCTGAGGTGGCGGTTGATACCCCCAGACTTATGGTCATGGGGGATTTCAACCTGCCATCTATTGATGAAATGTCTGAGGCGGCTCGGGAGTTCATGGCTTCCATTGCAGCCATGGACCTGACCCAGTTAGTTCATGGCCCCACTCACATGGGGGGGACACACTCTGGACCTGGTTTTTGTCTCTGGCCAGTGGCTGAATGATTTTGATATAGGGGATATTGTGATCGAGCCCTTGTCATGGTCAGATCATTCTCTCCTTCGACTTGACCTTCAAACCGCTACACCTCGCCGCAGGGAGGTGGAACTGATCAGGTGGTTCCGCCCCAGGCGCCTGATGGACCCTGATAGGTTCCAGACGGAGCTTGGGCCATTCCCTGAGGTTCTGGCTCATGACGCGGCTGAAGATCTGGTGGCCGCCTGGTATAGGGCGGCTGCTGGAGCTTTGGACCATGTCGTGTCTTTGCGGCCTCTGACCTGGTGCCGATCCCAGGTGGCTCCCTGGTTTTCCAAGGAGCTGAGGGAAATGAAGTGCCGGAAAAGACGCCTAGAGAGCGGTTGGAGGGCCAGCCGGTCCGAATCTGATCGAACACTAGTGAGGTCTCATATTAACACCTACCTAGTGGTGATAAAAGTGGCAAAGTCTCACTACTTTTCCGCTCTTATCGTGTCTGCAGATAACTGCCCAGCTGCCCTGTTTAGGGTGACCCGCTCCCTGCTCCATCTGGGAGCGCGGGAAGACCCCTTGGAGGGTAGAGCTGATGATTTTGTACAGTATCTGCATGACAAAATCGCTGAAATTCGGGAAGGCTTGGACTCTGACAGGATAGGTTCAGATGGGGTGATGGAGGAAGGTCCTGAGAGTGTTATCTGGGAGGAGTTTGACCCGGTGACTCCCGAAGACGTGGACAGGATTCTTGGTAGACTTAGCATAGCCACATGTTTATTGGACCCGTGTCCCTCCTGGTTGGTGGAGGTTACACGAGGCTGGCTCCAGAGGATTATCAACGCTTCTTTGAGTGACGGTTGCTTTCCCACTGCCTTGAAAGAAGTGGTGGTGAGGCCCCTCCTCAAGAAGCCCTCTCTGGACCCGGCTGTTTTAGCGAATTATCGTCCAGTCTCCAACCTCCGCTTTGTGGCGAAAGTTGTTGAGAATGTGGTGGTGCGACAGTTCCCCCAGTACCTGGATGAAGCGGTCTATCTTGACCCATTCCAGTCGGGTTTTAGACCTGGGTACAGCACGGAAACGGCATTGATCGCATTGGTTGATGATCTCTGGAGGGCTCAGGACAGGGGTTTTTCCTCTGTCCTGGTCCTATTAGATCTCTCAGCTGCTTTTGATACCATCAACCATGGTATCATGCTGCACCGGTTAGAGGGGTTAGTAGTGGGAGGCACCGTGCTGCGGTGGTTCTCCTCCTTTCTCTCTGATCGGTCGCAGTTTGTGTTGACAGGGGGCCAGAGGTCGACCTCGAGGCGCCTCATGTGTGGGGTGCCACAAAGGTCAGTCCTCTCGCCCCTTCTGTTCAACATTTATGTGAAGCCGCTGGGTGAGATCATCTGTGGTTTCGAGGTGCAGTTCCACCAGTACGCTGATGACACCCAGCTGTACATCTCTACCCCGGACCACCTCAATGATGCACTTGACGTGATGTACCAGTGTCTGGAGGCCGTGCAGATCTGGATGGGGAGAAACAGGCTCAAGCTCAACCTGTCCAAGACTGGGTGGCTGTGGCTTTCGGCGTCCGATATAGTCAGTTGGTGCCATCTCTGACTATTGGGGGTGAGTCATTGGCCCCCACGGAGAGGGCTTGCAACTTAGGTGTCCTCCTGGATGCAAAGCTGTCCTTAGAAGAACATGTGATGGCCATGGCCAGGGGGGCTTTTTATCAGGTTCGCCTGATCCGCCAGTTGCGTCCCTTTCTGGATCGGGACTCCCTACGCACGGTCACTCATGCCCTCATTACTTCCCGCCTGGACTACTGTAATGCTCTCTACATGGGGCTCCCCTTGAAGAGCACTCGGAGGCTCCAACTGGTCCAGAATGCGGCCGCGTGGGTGGTTATGGGAGCGTCATGGTGCTCCCATGTAACACTTCTCCTGCATGAGCTGCACTGGCTCCCGGTGGTCCTCCGGGTGCGATTCAAGGTATTGGTTACCACCTTCAGAGTGCTCCATGGCTTAGGACCTGGGTATTTACAAGACCATTTGCTGCTACCAATAGCCTCCCACCAGCCAATTCGCTCCCACAGAGAGGGGCTCCTCCGGGTGCCAATGGCCAAGCAATGTCGGCTGGCGACCCCCAGGGAGAGAGCCTTCTCTGTGGGGGCTCCTGCCCTCTGGAACGAATTGCCCCCCTGAGATACAGAGGATTCCCGACTTAAGCACCTTCCGCCGGGCCCTCAAGATGCTTTTATTTCAAGAAGCTGGGCTGGCCTAATTTTTAAATTTTTTAATTGTCAATTCTTAATTTCTAAATGTCTAAATTGGGTAGTTTTATTTTACTTAGATATGGGCCAAACTATTTAATATTTTTTAAATTGTTTTTAAATTTTATATTTGTGTGTTTTATGCTGACTGTACACCGCCTTGAGTCCCTTTGGGAGAAGGGCAATAAATAAATAAATAAATAAATAAATAAATAAATAAATAAATAAATAAATAAATAAAATGTCTTATTTTTGGGGAAACAGAGTAATTCTCACCTGGTCTTTCTTTCCTCATCCAGGATCGAGCTTGTTAGCAAAGACTCGTCACCAGATCAGCCGAGTGAGTCGGGCAGAGTTGGCTGACAATTTTCTACGGCTTCGTGATGAACATTTGCTGCTCAAAGAGCTCACTCAAAAGCAGGAGAACAAGATCAAAAGGTAACCCGCAAATTTATTAAAAACGTGGTTATCCATTGGATAAAACCCTGGGGATCTTTCTGATAGACTAAGGTACATAACCATTGATGGTATGTTCATTAATTCGCTTGTGGTCCTAAAGGTGCTTTTTTCAGGAGGCAACTGGACTTTCCTGTTTTTTCCTCGAAGACGTTTCGTTTCTCATCCAAAAAGCTTCTTCAGCTCTGACCGGATGGTGGGGAATGGAAGGATTTATACTCCTTGCAGATAGCTGGTCATTTGCATCCTTTTTAGTGAGTCGTTGAGGCCACTTGGAGTCCCAAAGGTGCTTTTTCAAGAGGCAACTGGACTTTCTGGTTTTTTTCTTCAAAGACGTTTCGCTTCTCATCCAAGAAGCTTCATCAGCTCTGATTGGATGGTGGGGAATGGAAGGATTTATACTCCTTGCAGACAGCTGGTCATTTGCATCCTTTTTAGTGAGTCGTTGAGGCCACTTGGAGTCCCAAAGTTGCTTTTTCAAGAGACAACAGGACTTTCTGGTTTTTTCTTCAAAGACGTTTCGCTTCTCATCCAAGAAGCTTCTGTCAGCACTTCAAGCTTCATTTACTCTAGTGCTGACATAAGAAGGAGAAGTGGAGGCATCTGAAAAGGGATGTTTGACTTTTCACCTAATATCCCCTAGGGATGGGAGGGGGGAAATTCCTTTGAGCTGGAGCAGTAGATTAGGGGTAGAGTGACTTGGAAGATGGCCAATGAGTCCAGGGGAGTGGGGAACGGAAAGGGAGGGTTTTGGGTCTGGAAGTCAGAGTTGGCTGCGATGAGTCGGAGCTAGAATGTCGTGCTTAATAAATGGGAGTTTTTCTTCAAAGACTTTTTTTGAAATGCAATTTATTTGAGAAGACCTCGAAACCTGACAGCTTCTTCAGCTCTGACCGGATGGTGGGGAATGGAAGGATTTATACTCCTTGTATAAAGCTGGTCATTTGCATCCTTTTTAGAGAGTCGTTGAGGCCACTTGGAAATTGATCTGTGTTTTCAGGGTCACCTGAGTAGTGCCAGTGGTTCCTGGCAGTTTTTTCTCTGAAAATCCATTCATACTCCCACGCCATTTAAAGGGTAGCTATCCAATTTGGGATGAACACCTTGGAATGATGTGGAAGTAGGAATGGATTTCCAGAGGGGGGAAAAATTGTAGACTACAGGAACCATCGGTGTTCCCTGAGGACACAGATAAACCTACAAGTGCTTCAACGACCCTCTGAAAGGATGCAAATGACCAGCTGTCTGCAAGGAATGTAAATCCTTCTATTCCCGACCATCCAGTCAGAGCTGAAGAGGCTTCTTGGATGAGAAGCGAAACATCTTCAAAAGAAAAAAAACAAGAAAGTCCAGTTGCGTCCTGAAAAAGCACTTTGGGGACCTCTTGACAATGGCACATTTTAAGCATTTTTAAAAAAAATAAAATAGAATAGAATTCTTTATTGGCCAAGTGTGATTGGACACACAAGGAATTTGCCTTGGTGCATACGCTCTCAGTGTACATAAAAGAAAAGATACGTTCATCAAGAATCATAAGGTACAACACTTAATTCTATTCTATTCTATTAAAAAAGAATGAATGACAGATGTTTAATAGCTCTTTGCAAGTGGGAGGAGATGTTGCTTGTTGAGTGACCACACACACAAAGGTTGAGGATAAATGTGGTAGTTTATTGCCTTACATAGTGACATTATATAGTTTGTTACTTTCAAGTTACAGTGTACTTGGCAGAATATCATTGGCTCACAGAATCTTCCAGGTAACTTAAATCATAGGTTAATCATTACTGCTTTGCTTAAGCACTTATAATGTTTGGCTATAGTTAAAGTCTAACATACATCCCACTTCGTCTCCTCTTATTTACAGATCTAGGGTCTTATTTTCTAATGTCATTTCCTGGCGCTTACGTGCATGTAACCTTCCTTATCTGAGGTTTGCCTTCGAGATTAGGAAAATTCCTGCACGTATGCAAACTCCTACAGATGCTGTCATGTTCACTGCACTTATAGCTCTAATGACCTCTTAGGACACCAGAATTGCAACGTAGCATTGACACCTAAAGAAGTTAACAACTAAGGAAAAGAGGAAGGTGTTCGTTCCCAAGATTATTTAAAGACATATTTTGATGATGAGAAATGTGAAACTCATGTTGTTTAGAGTGATACACAAAAACACATCACAATAATTTCACTGGGCAATATTTTGAGTGTGTCTAGTCTAATGAAAAGGACTTGGGTGATGTGATAGCAGTCTTGCAATATTTGAGGGGTTAGGCTCATGACCGTTGCAGCATCCCAGGGCCATGCCACATTACTAACTTAACAACTGCAGTGATTCACTTAATAACGGTGGCAAAAAATCATAAAATGGGGCAAAATGCACTTAACATCTGTCTGAGTTAGCAACAGTTTTTTTTGACTCAGTTGTGATGATAATCTGAGGATTACCTGTATTAACATCAAATTCCTCAGGCCGCTGTAAATTAACAGGACATCCTTTGAGACTATGCAGGACCTGGGTATGTCTAGTTTGATGAAAAGAAGGACTAGGGGAGACATGATAGCAATGTTCCAATATCTCAGGGGCTTCCACAAAGAAGCGGGAGTCAAGCTATTCTCCAAAGCACCTGAGGTTAGGACAAGAAGCAATGGGTGGAAACTAATCGAAGAGCGAAGCAACCTAGAACTAAAGAGAAATGTCCTCGCAGAACAATTAGTCAGTGGAACAACTTGCCTCCAGAAGTTGTGGGTGCTCCATCATTGGAGGATTTTAAGACCAGATTGGACAACCACTAGTCTAAAATGGGACAGGGATTGGACTAGAAGATCTCCAAGATCCCTTCCAATTCTATTATTCTGTTAATTTCATTTGTTCAAGGTTACTCAGTTCTTCTATCTTTCCCTACACAATTCTTTGGCTTTTGTCTGTGGAGATTCTCGGTCATCCATCTCATGGTTGTCCCCAAAAGTGCTTTTTCAAGAGGCAACCAGACTTTCTGGACCAGAAAGCCTGGTTGCCTCTCGAAAAAGCACCTTTGGGACTTCTCTGGCTTGTGTCACCCATGACAACCTTAAACAATGGTAATGGTTGAGCTCCTAAATCAGAAAGCCAAACAAGGGTTCTGCTTTAGGAGAACCAAAACAAGGAGACCAAAGCATAAGAAGAATGGTTGCAGGAACTGGGCATGGCTAGTCTAGTGAAGAGAAGGACTAGGGAGACAGGATAGCAGTCTTCCAATATTTGAGGGGCTGCCACAGAGAGGAGAGGGGGTCATGCTATTTTCCAAGGCACCCGAAGGCCAGACAAAAAGAATAATGGATGGAAACTGATCAAGGAGAGATTCAACCTAGAAATAAGGAGAGATGTTCTGACAGTGAGGACAAACAACCAGTGGAAGAGATGTTGCCTTCGGAAGTTGTGGGACCTTCATCCCTTCAAGAAGAGTTTGGACTGCCATTTGTCAGAAATGGTGTAGGGCAGTGATGGCTAACCTTTTTGCCATCGCGTGCCAAAAGGGGGGGAGTGGGGGGGATTGCGCATGTGCGTGCCCACACCCATAATTCAATGTGCCCCGTCCCCCTCATGCATGCACGTGTGACTCCCCCCCTGCTTTTCGCACACGATGGCATGGTGGGCCGAGTAGGCCCATTTTTTGCCCTTCCCAGGCTCCAGAGGCTTTCTAGGAGCCTGGGGAGGGCAAAAATGGCCTTCCCCACTCCCCCCTCCCTGGAGGCCATCCGGAGGCCTGGAAACAGCCCATTTCCCAACTTCCAGTGGGCCCGGAAGGCCCAAAAATCAGTTGGCCAGCACACACATGCGTGCTGGATTGAGGTAGGGCAATGCTCACGTGCCCACAGATATGGCTCCATGTGCCACCTGTGGCACCCGTGCCATAGGTTCACCATCACAGGGTAGGGTCTCTTGTTTGGGTGGTGGGGGGTTGGACTAGATGACCTACAAGCAGGGGTGAAATCCAGCAGGTTCTGACAGGTTCTGGAGAACCGGTAACGGAAATTTGGAGTTTGGAGAACCGGCAAATACCACCTCTGGCTGGCCCCAGAGTGGGATGGGAATGGAGATTTTGCAATGTCCTTCTCCCAGGAGTGGGGAGGGAATGAAGATTTTGCAGTATCCTTCCCCTGCCACATCCACCAAGCCACACCCACAGAACCGGTAGTAAAAACATTTGGATTTCACCACTGCCTACAAGGCCCCTTTCAACTCTGTGAATCTGTACGGGTCCTCCTACAACAACATCACTCTCTGGGAAGACCGAGATTGGATGTTCTTTCCTTATTCCTAACCAGGATGGGCACCAAACTCTCAAGACTGAATCATGACCGAGCACAACAGGAAACCCGGAATAGGAGACCCGGAAGCTACATTCAAAACTCTGTGCGGCACCTGGACTTGGAAGAGGGTCTGGAAGAGATGCAGGAACGGGTTTGGGATCTGGAACGTCTCAACCAGCGTTTGAGGAGTCACCTGCTCTTCTACAAGCAACAGCTACAACTGCAGGGCTGCAGCCGTCACTGTCCCTATGGCCACGTCACAGCCAAGGTCAACACGGGCTTTCGTCGGCCACACACCTCTCCTAGACAAGGGCCCAAGAAGTCACACAAAGGTAAGAAGGTTGGAGAGCTTGAGGCGTTCATCGCTGGGAAGGTTCTGCTCCCCAAACACGACAAACCTTCTGTAATCAATCGACGATTCCTTTATTGATCTCTGGAAACAACTGAATGAAAAATTGCTGGTGACCTTCTATCGCTGCGCCATAGAGAGTATCTTAACTTACCGCCCCTGTGTATGATTTGCCAATTGCACAGTGGCAGGTGGGACAGCGCTCCAGAGGGTCAACGTCATTGCCCAGAGGATCATCGGTTGCCCTCTCCCCTCTTTATAGCTCCCGCTGCCTTAAGAAAGTTCAAAACATCCTTAAAGATCCATCTCATCCTGGGCACCACTTTTTTTTTTTTTGAACTATTACCATCTGGCAGACGGTACAGGATAATTAAAAACAAGAGCAAATAGGCTGAAAAACAGCTTCTATCTCCAGACCAGTAACTATGTTGAATTCTACTATATAGTGCAAGATTAATGCAATATCAGGGTTTTCAATTCAATTGTGTAGAATGTGAAGGTGTGTGTTTTTGTTTCATTTTTTTTTTTTTTAGTTTTCTTATGTATGATGTACACTGAAGATGGAATTTAATTTCGTTGTACGAGGTGCAATGACAATAAAGTAAACTTAACTTAATTATGAGCGCCAGCAGCCCCGAAAAAAATCTCTCTTTCTTTCTTTCACAGCAGGCTAACAAGTCTGTCGAGCATCTATTCATCTCTGCTTCCTTTTCTTCCCAGAGCTAGAGTGGGGCTTCGCTAGCAGTGGTGGCTTTTCCATCCCAAGGACCAGCCCATAGATTTCCACTGCTCTCCTCTCCTCTGCCTTCTGCGCATCCGCGCGTCAGGCACTGGACCCAGCTGTTCCTCCTCTTCCTCATCAGCCACCTCCAGACCTCTGGGGGCTGTTGACTCTCCACCTGAGGGTTGACAGACGACCCAGGCTCCACCTCTGTCTCTCTCTCTCTCTCTCTCTCTCTGCCAGCTCCATTCCCTCTTTTCCCCCCTCAGAGCTCTCAGGTTGCCTTGATGCTGATCCTGACTCCCACTCCTCTTCCTCCTCCTCTGATTCGGTTGCTGGAGGGGCTGGCGGCCGACAGGCCCCAACAGGTTCTAGGTTGAAATTATGCACTCGATTGGAAGTCATCAAGTCGACTTTTTATGGACGCTATGCCTTTGTCGAATGAGGGGAAGTCTAAAGAGATTCAAGGACATGGCGGTCAGTCCTTCCTTTTCTCTTTGTTTCTGTTTTTGGGTGACAGAGATGCAGATATCAAGAATGACAACCAGGCCAATCTCTCCCAGATATGGTGATGATGTTCTGGAAAGGTTGCAAGCAGAAACCGAAAGATTGTGAGTTCTAGTCCCACCTTAAGTACGAAAGCTGATTGTGGGTCAGTCACTGGGAGACTGTGATTTCTAGTCTTGCCTTAGTCATTAAATATGCCTTTGGACCAATCGTCAGATGACAGTGAGTTCTAGTCCCGCCTTCGGCATGAAAGTCAACTGGGTGTCTTTGAGCCAATCATCAGGAGACTGTAAGTTCTAGTCCCATTTTAGGCATGAAAGTTGACTGGGTATCTTTGGGCCAATCACCAGGAGATGGTGAGTTCTAGTCCTGCCTTCGGCATGAAAGTCAACTAGGTATCTTTGAGCCAATCATCAGGAGACTGTAAATTCTAGTCCCATCTTAGGCATGAAAGTAGACTGGGTATCTTTGGGCCAATCACCAGGAGATGTTGAGTTCTAGTCCCGCCTTCGGCATGAAAGTCAACTGGGTATCTTTGAGCCAATCATATGGAGACTGTAAATTCTAGTCCCATTTTAGGCATGAAAGTTGACTGCGTATCTTTGGGCCAATCACCAGGAGATGGTGAGTTCTAGTCCCACCTTCGGCATGAAAGACTCTTGGATGACTTTAAGCCAATCACTCTCTCTCAACCAAGCTCGCTGTACAGTGCTGTTATTCTGGGGAAAATAAGAAAGGAAGGAATATTAGGTACCTTTGCTCCCTTAATAAAGGTGAGATATTTTTTTAAAAAAGATTCTTTTTAACCTGCAAGAAAAAAGGTCAATCTTTAAAACTCCTTCCTATTAATTCATGAAAAACAAATGTATATTTCTGCTTTGATTCTTCTTTCAGAACCCACAGTCTGGTGCTGGCTGAGTTAGACAAGGATCATGAATTGTTGAGCTTCACACCTGATAAAGAAATTGATCTGGAATACATTCAATCTCAGAAAAGCTATCTAAACTTGCAGGAATACCGGTAAAGTTTGTTTGGTTCTCGTCTCCCTCAAGGGATTTGATCTAGGATTACACAGGGAGTGGGTTTCAAAAATTTTAGCAACCGATTCTCTGCCCGGATGTAAAATTACCATCCGGTTCGCCCGAACCGGTCCGAACATGCTGAATCCCACACCTGGGATTCAGGGGTGAGTTCTAAATTTTTTTTACTACCGGTTCTGTGGGTGTGGCTTATTTTGTGGGTGTGGCTTGGAGATCATGTGACTAGGTGGGCGTGGCTAGCTGGTCAGAGTCATTTCTGGAAGGTCCTCGCACTTACGACCAGTCCTCGCACTTACGACCCGACTCATTTGTTTGCTTTTAACACTGATCAGCTGTAGGACGGCCCTTTGAAGCCCCGCGGCAAGAGTTTAAACAGTTTTTTTCCCTCTAGTCATCAGCTGGGACTCAGGAGGCAGCAATAGATTGGGGGTGGGACCAAATAAAAGGTGAGAATAATGTGGGAGGGGGGGTGGGAGAACCGGTTTGGTGACGTCATATTGTCACCGCTACCGGCTCGGCCGAACTGGACCGAACCGGGAGGAACCCATGACTGCTGGGATTACACCTATAATAGTTAGAACAATCAATCAGTGGAACGACTTGCCTCCAGAGGTAGTGGGTGCTCCAACACTGGAGGTTTTTAAGAAGAGATTGGACAACCATTTGTCTGAAATGGTATAGGGCAGCGATGGCTAACCTTTTTGCTGTCACGTGCCAAAAGTGGGTGGGGGGTTCGCACACGTTCATGCCCACACCCATAATTCAATGTCCCCTGCGCCTTGCCTCCTATGCATGTGCACGCGATGCCCCCTGCGCCCCGTTTTGGGCCTAGCAGGCCAACCTGACACCTCTGGAGGCTGCAAATGGTTGGTTTCCTGACTTCCGGTGGGCCCGGGAGACCCATTTTTCGCCCTCCCCAGGCTCAAGAAGCTTTCCTGGAGCCTGGGGAGGGCGAAAACAGCCTCCCCCCCTTGGAGGCTGAAAACGCCCTCCCAGAGCCTCCAGGTGAGGCCTGTATTTACCTGGCATCCAAAACAGGCTGCGTGGAGACTCCTGGCAGGGGCGGTGTGGGCGGGGCCAGCTGAAAATCAGCTGGCCAGTGTGCCCCACCCCCTAAGCATACACACATGTCCATCCCATTCACCACACATGGGTGGCAGAGACCCAAAGACCAGCTGGCCAGCGGGAGGCGCACATACTTGCGCGGCAGAGCTGAACTGGGGCGATGGCTCGCGTGCCCACAGAAAGGGTGCTGCATACCACCTCTGGCACATATGCCATAGGTTCGCCATCATGGGTATAGGGTTTCCTGCTTAATCAAGGGGTTGGACTAGAAGACCTCCGAGATCCCTTCCAACTCTTATTCTGTTAATTTGCCAGGGGTGAAATGCTCCCGATTCGGACCAGATCGCCCGATCCGGTAGCGATGGCAGCGGGCGGTTCGGAGAACCGGTAGCAAAAATCCCTGCGCCACCCCCACCATGCTCATCTGAGTCGCACGATCATCAGAGGCTTTTTTTTTCTTTTAAAAGCATTTTTTCTACAACCTCTTCCGATGAAAAAATGCTTTTAAAAGTAAAAAAAAAAGCCTCTGATGATCACGCGGCTCAGCTGGGATCCTCAGAGGCTTTTCAAAGCATTTTTTTCTGCAACCTCTTGGCCGAAGAGGTGGTAAAAAAAATGCTTTGAAAAGTCTCTGACGATCCCAGCTGAGTTGCCTGATCGGCAGAGAGGCTTTTCAAAGTATTTTTTAAAAAGCCTCTCTGACGATCCTAGCTAAGTTGCCTAATCGGCAGAGAGGCTTTTCAAAGCATTTTTACAAAAGCCTCTCTGACGATCCCAGCTGAGTTGCCTGATCGCCAGAGGCTTTTCAAAGCATTAGAAAAAATGCTTTGAAAAGTTAAAAAAAAAAAAAAGTTGGCCACACCAACCCAGTCACATTACCCACCACCACCACCAAGCCACGCCCACAGAACCGGTAGTAACACATTTTACATTTCACCCCTGTAATTTGCTATTCTATTATTCCATTATTCTGATTAATATCACACATAAATTAAATCTTCCGAAACCTTGTTTTCTATGGTGCTTTTGATTCTTCTTCTGCTTTCATCGATAAATTCAACTGAAGCAGAATTTCAAAGTTGGATGTGGTTGTAATTCCTGGAGTTTGATTTTAGAGGAGTGAAATTCACATCTCAAGGGTAGGCAGGTGTTTAAACATTGGAGGCATTATAGATTTTTTTGAATTGGAACAAAGAAATGCAGGAGTTCAACTTATAAGAGGAACCTTATAACCCTGAAGATGGCCTGACCGAAGCCATTTTGATCGCTTTGGCGTTGCCAAATTCATTTAGGGACCGTTCAAAGTTACAACGGCGCTGAAAAAAATGTGACTTATGACCGGTTTCCTCAGTTATGACATTTGCAGCATCCTTATGTAGGGTTGCCAGGTGTCCACTATTTGAGCGGACAGTCCACTTTTTTCACATTATGTTCACTATTTTTTTTCACAAAATAGTGGACATTTTTTTTATTCAAAACTTTGTATATTTTTTAATATTTCTCAACGTTGTACTGAAATTAAAGAATTATTCCTTAAACACAAAGAATTGATCAAAGCTGCGCAGTCAAATAAAAAATACACACGACAGCAAAGTAAAATGTAATTTAATATTTTACATATTATTATAATATATTTGATGTTTTGAATTTTAAGTAAAGTTTTGAAGTGATTATTTTAATACGTGTTAAAATGTTTGTAAGAAAATATATAATTTAATTGTAAATTTTTTTTAAATTTTTTTTACTACTTAAACCCCCCCCCCCCCCGCTTGTCCGCTATTTTTTGGAAGCAGACCTGGCAACCCTATCCCCATGATCATGTGATCAAAATTCGGAGGCTTGGCAACTGGTTCACACTTACGACCGTTGTGCAGTGTCCCGGGGTCATGCGATCCCCTTTTACGACCTTCGGACAAGCAAAGTCAATGGGGAAGCCAGATTCACTTAACAACCAATTTACTAACTTAACAACTGCAGTGATTCGCTTAACAACTGTGGCAAGAAAGGTCGTAAAATGGGGCCAAATTCACTTAACATCTGTCTGACTTAGCAACAGAAACTTTCAATTGTGATCATGTTGAGGATTACCTATATAATATCAAATTCCTTCAGGCCGGTGTAAGTTAGCAGGACATTCCTTGAGATTATTTTACCTCACAGTTTTAGTACCTGGTCAGTAAGAAATCTTTTCTCAAGCTATTGATTTTGCACAGATGGGGCTGGTTGTGCGTTTGTGCGGTGGGAAGAACTCACTGAGCGATGCCAACTTGTTCCCCTCGCTCAACAGAGCCGCCATCCAGAAGAACGTGGAGCTGATTCGGCTGCAGAAGCTGTTATGGGAGAAGAATTCAGAGCTGGTGATCTCCAAAGCTCAGATTACTGTCTTGCAAGAGGTAAATCCTGGTGCTTTCATAGAGTGGGGTGGAGTCCTCAGTTGTCTCTGAGATCAGTTGTTTTCTTGCAGACGTTTCATTATCCTACTACAATGTTTCTGTTGTGGCCCATACGTGGCCTGTGCAGCTAATAGCTGATTCAGACAGTGAGGAGGCTGGTGTGGTGCTGCGCCAGCAGCCTGTGCAGCTGGCACTCGAGTCGGACAATGAGGAGGCTGGAGAAGAATCCCAGAGGTAGGGATTCAGCCAGGGCCTTCAGAACCTCCAGAAACTCACTTAAGTGAAGAGGATGAAGAGGAGGAGCCTCTTCTCGATGCACGGGTGCACAGAGCTGCCAAAAGACAGGAGTGGCTCTCAAGAGGAGGTCTCCTCAAGAGTAAGGCTTGGGGCTAATTGGCCACTCCCTTAGCCTATTTAAGGAGGAACGCCGACTGAAGCAATTTGCAGAGAACAACTTAGTTCACATACCTTCGTGTCTTGTCTTGCTTATCTTATCAGCTTCCTCCAAATTGCTTCTGGGCATTCTGCCAACCATAGTAAGCTTTCAGTTATTATTGTTTGAATTCTTGGCGGCTGTTAATTAATTAACAGCCGTTGTTGCAAAAGACTGGTTTATTCAGCATACTAAGGTTTGAACGGACTTTGTGTGTGCTGCGTTCTTTGGGGTCAGTAGCTGGGGCAGAACAGTTTCCCCAAAAATAAGACAGGGTCTTATTTTCTTTTGAACTTCAAAATAAGAGCTTGGCCTTATTATCGGGGGGGGATGTCTTATTATTTTGTGGGTGCAGGAGGCCCCGGGCAGCCTGCGCACTCACAGTCGGGAGTCTGGCAGAGAAAGACTCCCTTCACACGCCACCATCAAGCCTCTCCCGCGGGGTGTGTGTGTAGTACGCGAGTGGCCTGAAGGCACCAAGCCGCACGAGTGCCTGTCCCCACCCCCCGCTTGTGCGCCACATCGATGTGGGCAAAGCCAGTGAGCACCAGGTTCTTGAGATTGTAGCCAATGCCGCCGGCACCCACCACCAGCACCTGTGTGGAAGCCATGGCCTTGGCCAGCTCTCCCTGCAGGCTCCAGCTCCAGCTGTCATCATAGAGTGGGACGCACACTCCCAGAGCGGGCAGTGCCCTGGCTGGGGTTTGGAAGCCGCAGAGGCAGAGTTTGGGGGAGAGAAAAAAGACTTCTGCTGCTTCTGCTGCTTCCCTTGCATCCAGCCAAAAGCAGACAGACACAGGGAGAGAGTGACACACAGAGAGAGGTACAGAGAGAGACAGAGACAGACAGAGACAGAGAAACAGAGAGAGAGAGACCCAGAGAGAGACAGAGAGAAACAGAGAGTCAGACACACAGAGAGAGAGAGAGAGAGAGAGAGAGACAGACAGACAGACAGACAGACAGACACAGAAAAAAAGAGAGAGACAGACACACACAGAGAGACAGAGAGGGACAGAGAGAGACAGAGACAGAGAAACAGAGAGGCAGACACAGAGAGAAAGACAGAGAGAAACAGACAGACACACAGAGAGAGACAGAGAGAAATAGAGAGAGAGAGACACAGAGAGTGAGAAACAGAGAGAAAGAGAGAGACAGACAGACAGAGAGAGAGACAGAGAGAAACAGAGAGAGAGAGACCCAGAGAGAGACAGAGAGAAACAGAGAGACAGACACAGAGAGAGAGAGAGACAGAGACAGACAGAGAGAGAGAGAGAGAGAGAGACAGACAGACAGACAGACAGAGAAAAAAAGAGAGAGACAGACACACACAGAGAGACAGAGAGGGACAGAGAGAGACAGAGAAAGAGAGAGACAGACACAGAGAGAAAGACAGAGAGAAACAGAGACAGACACAGAGAGAGAGACAGAGAGAGACAGACAGAGAGAAATAGAGAGAGAGACACAGAGAGTGAGAAACAGAGAGAAAGAGAGAGACAGACAGACAGACAGAGAGAAACAGAGAGAGACAGACACAGACACAGAGAGAGACAGAGACAGAGAGAAACAGAGAGAGACAGACACACACAGAGACACACACACACACACACAGAGATGTGTTATCCACCTTTTCATAGCAACAGGATTCTTATTCTTGTAAGAAATGCTGGATTTGACACTAGGAGATGTACAGAAGAAAGTCAGTTCTTCTTGTCCTCTTTAACTTATAAACTGCTTGAAGTCTAGGCTTCTGAGGTTCACCTCCAGCAAAGATCTTTCTCAGTCATTATTTTTTGAGCCGTAGATCTAAGAATGGAGCTCCTAGGCCAATCCTAGCTCTTATGAGTCTCCTTTCTTTTCGTCTTGTCTACACCAGAACCAAGAGGCCTTGAGGTCAGCCAGCGAAGCCTTGCTGACTCAGCTGGATGATCTGAATGCCAACCTCAAGGAGAAGGCCCAGAAGGTGACCCTGCTGGAAAGCCGACTGGAAATCCTTTTACCCTTGCGGGGAACGCTGGACGAGGTGAGGAAGAGAAACAGAGAGAAAGAGAGAGACAGACAGACAGACAGAGAGAAACAGAGAGAGACAGACACAGACACAGAGAGAGACAGAGACAGAGAGAAACAGAGAGAGACAGACACACACAGAGACACACACACACACACACAGAGATGTGTTATCCACCTTTTCATAGCAACAGGATTCTTATTCTTGTAAGAAATGCTGGATTTGACACTAGGAGATGTACAGAAGAAAGTCAGTTCTTCTTGTCCTCTTTAACTTATAAACTGCTTGAAGTCTAGGCTTCTGAGGTTCACCTCCAGCAAAGATCTTTCTCAGTCATTATTTTTTGAGCCGTAGATCTAAGAATGGAGCTCCTAGGCCAATCCTAGCTCTTATGAGTCTCCTTTCTTTTCGTCTTGTCTACACCAGAACCAAGAGGCCTTGAGGTCAGCCAGCGAAGCCTTGCTGACTCAGCTGGATGATCTGAATGCCAACCTCAAGGAGAAGGCCCAGAAGGTGACCCTGCTGGAAAGCCGACTGGAAATCCTTTTACCCTTGCGGGGAACGCTGGACGAGGTGAGGAACTGTGGATTGACTACTGCCCCACATTCTCTGTGGGGCTGCCTGTGAAGATCCCTGGGAAGCTTCAGTTGATTCAAAGTGCTTGTTCTAACGCAGGTCTCCAAACACGACAAACCCTCTAAAGTTAACTCCGTTAACTCCTAATAAGATTCCTTTATTAGGAGCGCCGGCAGCCCCGGCAAAAAGTTTCTCTCTCAATGCCGGCTAACAAGTCCATCCGACTGAAAGATAAATAGTTGTCTGCCACATCTATTCATCTCCACCTCTTGCCTTTTATCCCCAGAGCTAAGGTGGGGCTTCGCTAACAGCGGTGGCTCTTCCATCCCAAGGATCAGCCCATAGATTTCCACTGCTCTCCTCTCCTCTGCCTTCTGCGCATCTGTGTGTCAGGCACTGGACCCAGCTATTCCTCCTCTTCCTCATCAGCCACCTCCAGACCTGGGTGCTGTTGACTCTCCATCTGAGCGCTGACGGATGGCCCAGGCTCTTCGTCTGTCTCTCTATCTCTGCCAGCTCCATTCCCTCTTCCCAATCGGAGCTCCCAGGTTGCCCCAATGCCAACCCTGACTCCCACATTTCCTCCTCCTCCTCTGATTCGGTTGCTGGAGGGGCCAGCAGCTGAAAGGCCACAACAGTGCTGGGGTTTTTCTGCTAGATCAGGGGTGTTAAACTGGCAGTACGCAGGCTGCATGCACGCACAGGCCATGCCCACCCCAGCTCCGCATAGGGAAAAACATTGCGATATGTCACGTGATGGCAACATGACGTGGCGAGTTTGACACCCGTGTGCTAGATGAAACCATGTAATGCCTATTTTATGACTGCTGCAGTAAATCCTGATTTGTTCCGAGGTCCAATTCAAATGCTGGTTGTTCCCCCTCGACTTATGACCGGTTCATTTAGTGACCATTCCAGTGACAACGGCTCTGCAAAAAGGAACTTGTGACCCTTTTTTTCACACTTACGACCGTTGTCAGCACTCCTACCCTTTTTTTCACACTTACGACCATTGTCAGCACCCCTACCCTTTCACACTTATGACCATTGTCAGCATCCCTACCCTTGGGTGTGTGTGTCACGTGATCTGTTTTTGCAACCCTTCCAACGAGCAAAGTCCACAGGGAAGCCAGACTCACTTAAGCACCGTGTTACTAACTGAACAAATGCAATGATTTACTGAACGATTGTGGCAAGAGAAGTTGTAAAATGGGGCCAAACTTGCTTAACAGATCTTTCACTTAGCAACATAAACTTTGGGCTCAATTGTGGTCGTAGCTCGAGGACTACCTGTATCTCTAGAATCATCTTTCTCCACCAAATCTGTTCTGCTCCGTGTGTTTCTACATGGAGGAATCCAGAAGTGTCCTCACTTCAGCTGAAGTAAAAGGAGTACCTTAGCTGGTGCAAAAGTATCTTACTTTTTGATCAGGGGTGAAATGCTCTGAAATCTGCTACTGGTTCACTTCGCTACCGTTTTGCTTCACGCGCAATGCTGAAAAAGGAGGATTAAGAGGACTTTTCTGGTAAGTAGAACAGCGATGGGGGGGAACAGCTGTGCCACGCGATTTTGATTAGCTAGAAAGCAGGATTTCCTGCTTTCTAGCGAATATAAATAGCACAGCATAGCTCATTGTCGGAAATACCAGTTTGCCCGAACCGGTAGCATTTTTTTTTTACTACCCGTTCTCCCAAACCGCTAGCATTTATTATTACCGTTTTGGGCGAACCTGTCCGAACCAGTAGCATTTCACCCCTGCTTTTGATGTTCCAACCCAGTATTTTTTAAACTTGGTAACATTAAGATGCGTGTACATCTACTCCCAGAATTCCCCCAGCCAGCCAGTTTCCGATGGATACTTTGCTTTTAGGATCCAATCTGGGCCAGTCTCTGGGACCAGAGGTTAATTTTAATTGGCCTCTTTGTACTTTTAATTGGCCTCTTCCTATCTGATCTGAAGTCCCAGGCTGACTTAGAATTCTGTTGTGGCTCCGTTGCCTGAGCCTGGGCTATCGACAGATGCAGACTCTGAGAGTGAGGGAAAGGGGTTGGCAAGGCCTCCCTCTCCAGGACCCTCCTCTCTGGCAATGCCTCTGGAGGACACCGAAGGCCAAGAGATAGGCCCAGAGCCAAGCACGTCCCCGCAGCCACAGGTGGACAGCGATGAAGTAGATAAGTGCTGGCTGGATCCTCGGCAGCAGCGCAGGGAGAAGCGTGCGCAGCAGAGGGGAAGGCGTGCTAGAGATTAGCTGAGTCACTGGACCACACCCCACAGGGTATAAATGTGGGTGTGGTGGCCGGTTCAGTTTGTGATGAGCAAAAACTAGAAATAATCCATGATCTCTGCGTTACTGGACTTCTGCCTGCCTTGTCAGACTGCATTTGGACTAATCCTTGTATTGTTGAAACTGCCTGCTTTATCGGAATGCTTGCAGTCTAATCTTTGTTTTGTGTGAGTAAAGTCTGAATTGGCAGCTAGCCACTGGGTTGCTGCCAGCTTTATCTTCAAAGATTTTGTCGTGTGGCTTATTAACTCTGGGCCATCTGTGGGGGTGCGTGTATGGGATAGGGACAGAACAGAATTCCATCTATTATCTTTTCAGTTCCAGGAGAGAATTCAAGACCTGGAAGCAGAGCGAGATTCGTTGAAGACAGATTATGACCGATTGTGGGACAGGTATCACACAATCAGTGGTGCAACTTGCCTCCAGAAGTTGAGAATGCTCCACCACTGGATGTTTTTAAGAAGAGATTGGACAACCATTTGTCTGGTATAGGGTTTCCTGCTTGAGCAGGGAGTTGGATTAGAAGACCTCCAAGGTCCCTTCCAATTCTGTTATTCTATTCTATTCTATTCTATTCTATTCTATTCTATTCTATTCTATTCTATTCTATTCTATTCTATTCTATTCTATTCTACTCTACTCTACTCTACTCTATTCTTATTCTGCTCTGTTCTACTTTACTCTATTCCTATTATATTTTACTCTATTCCTATTCTATTCTACCCTACCCTACCGTACTCTACTCCACTCTACTCTACCCTGTTCCTATTCTGCTCTTCTCTCTTCTATTCCTATGATATATTACTCTATTCCTATTCTATTCTACCTTACTCTACCCTATTCTACTCTACTCTACTCTACTCTATTCCTATTCTGCTCTGTTCTACTTTACTCTATTCCTATTATATTTTACTCTATTCCTATTCTATTCTACCCTACCCTACCATACTCGACTCTACTCTACTCTACTACCCCTGTTCCTATTCTGCTCTTCTCTCTTCTATTCCTATGATATATTACTCTATTCCTATTCTATTCTACCCTACTCTTCTCTACCCTACTCTACTCTACTCTACTCTATTCATTTTAACAGTAATTAAGCGGATCTTTTGCAACATGAAATATGTCACACGTTCATATTCAGCTCTTCTCTAAGAGCTTGGGGATACCTTAAAAAGGCAGGCCAAGACCTCCAACTTCCCTTCCAACTGTGTTATTCTCTAATTCTATCTTACTTTTCTTTGATTTTCTATCATCCTTATGCCAACAGTTGCATCAATGCTCCACCACAAAATCTGGACCAGGTGCCCCAGAAGGACAATGCTTCTTCTTTGGAAGATCAACTCAACTCAGCCTTGGCCGAGAAGGAGATTCTAGAGGAACAACTAAAAAAAGAAAAAGGTAAGGGATCAATTGACATTAGGAGCTTGCAGAATCGTTGGGCAAAATGCAGGGCAGAACTAGGTAAATTTTGGATTAAAGGAATCTAAACATACCTACTTTGTTTCAACAGGAAAATTCTAGGCACTGATTATGGGCAATCATGGTTCATATCACAGTAAGGATTGGGATCATTCAGCTTTCCCAGATGATATTGTTTCTCAATCTTTAAGATGTGTGGACTTCAACTCCCAGAATTCCCTAGCCAGTTATGGCTGGTAGGGGAATTCTGGGAGTTGAAGTTCACACATCTTTAGAGTAGGCAAAGTTTTTTTTTTTATAAGTTTTGTATTTATTTTCCATTTAAAAAAAAAATAAACATTTCATCTCTCCTTAAGCAATGTGTCGTCTGGGTACAAATATTTCTGTACAATATCCTTCCACAAATTATATACATTGAACAATTATATCTCTTCATTTCCTTCATAATGTATCTTCTAATAAAAATACAATAATAACATTAAACATTTATTCTCATCATACTCATATTATCAATTGCCATTTTATTCTTATCTCTATCTTAATATATTTTCTATTCTTATTGTCTTCTTCCTTTACTTCCAATTTCCTTTTTTTCCCTCTAACCATTGATAAAATGCTTGCCATATCATATAATAATCAGTTTGTTCTTTCTCTTTAATCGCTAGTGTTAATCTATTCATTTCTGCACATTCTAATATTTTCCTAATCACCTTCTCTTCAGTAGGAATCTTACCTGAAACTTATAACGAAGAAAATATATATTTAATCTTTCATGTATTAACAGCAGCTAGAATTGTATTTGCACAATATTGGAAAAGTGAAAAGATTTCTAGAGTAGGCAAAGTTGAGAAACATTGTCAAATAAACGTTCATTTAGTTACAGGGGCATTGAAATACTTATGACCATTGCCTCATCCTCGTGATCATGTGATCAGAATTCAAATGCTTGGCAACTGACACGTATTTATGATGGTTGCAGTGTCCTCTCGCTCCAGGCTGTGTCAGCCCTGAAGCCGTGAGAAGAGAAACCTCCCTAGAAAACTACAAAAAAAGAAAACGGCCACCATTCAACCAACTTCAGGGTGGACCATACCGCATTTTCCTGAAAATAAGCCCTAGCACGATTTTTTCAGGCTGCTTGTAATATAAGCCCTACCCCAAAAATAAGCCCCAGTTAGATCGTCAGCCAGATGGACGCATTAAGTACCGTATTTTCCCCCCAAATAAGACATCACCTGAAAATAAGCCCTAATGCGTCTTTTGGAGCAAAAATTAATATAAGAACCGGTCTTATTTTCAGGGAAACACAAGTAGATTGAGTCTGGTCATTAGTTCCTCAAGTGAGAATTTGAGTTGATTTGTTCAATTTGGCTGTTTTCTCGACTATTCATCCTATTCTCAAAAGTCTTCCCCAACACCACAGTTGAAGACTATCAATACTCTTTCCATCTGCTTCTTCGAAGTCCAACACAGATGCACACACATGTATACGCATATACGATGGTAGCAGATCCATCCAACCGATGATAGCACAATGGATAGCAACTCCTCACACAATGGTAGCTTATCATCAACTGAATAAGTTACAGTACCTTCCTTAAATATGTTCACAACCAGTGATTATCTAATTACAGCATGACTCAGCATTACAATGAATCAGCAGTAAAACTTTAAAGTCACACAATACATATTCATATTAAAGTCACAGAACACATATATTGCCTGGACAACTTGTTAGGCTCAAACCATATCCTAACACATTGTAACATCCCCAACAAAAGAAGACTCTGAGGCTTGAGTCGTCTCAAAGTTCCTTTTTATTGAAGCTGACATATTGGCACATCTGGGAAAACCCGAATCTGAAAGTTTCCAGGTTTTCTCCATCCAAGTGAAAGTTCAAATCCCTGCCCAGCATCCTCATGTCCATCACATGGTCCAATCATCCACCGTCCAAACTGGAGACACTTTCCCAGTCATCCGACTCCAGGTGCCAGGGCAATGCGTCCTTGACTCTCTGAGAAAGGAATGTTATTTTGACTACATATCATCCACATTCTATGCAATCCCCCCTCCCGTTTTCCCACAGAAGAAGATGTAGCAGGTCTGAAGGCCCAAACGTAAAAGATGGCTTCCAGGCCTGACGCACAAACACACCCACGCACAACCTTTTTCTATACAACGCTCAAGGTGACTCACAACAAATAAAATCCTAATGGATAAAACACAAGAGTAATGAGAACGCAGCATCCTCAATGAAGAGTTTATTGATTTGGCCAAATCGAATCAACACTTTTGACTGGATTTTTTTTTTTTTGTAAATATTTTTTATTATTTTTCAAACATAAACATAAAATATAACTTTCAAGAGCAAAAACTCGATCTGGTCATAGATGGTTACCACGCTTACATTCCTTTAACAAACTCCATTCACAATTTCCCATTACATCTTTAAAAGGTGAATATTCAAAACATAAGAAGAATAAATTTTAACATAAATTCTAACATCCTTATCTATATATATCTATTGTATCAATACAATTTTAATTTCATATTTACTTTAGCTCATTTATATCTAAGTATTAATCCTGCTTATACAGTATCTGGTTCTTCTCCACATTGTCTTTATCATCTCTTTTACCATCATTTGCAAAATACTTTTTAACAATATTCTAATCTCTTATTCTAATTATTAACCACGATTTTATCACCTCGAATCTTAATTTCAAACTCAATACATTTCCATTTTTCTTACCATTTATACAACAAAATTCTAACTACATTTCTTGGACTCTTGACCCATTCCATCAAATCTTGATATCTTAAATTTTATCATTGCTTTTACACATTTCAAATTACACAGATTCATCCCAAAGATTTTATTTAAACTAATTACTAGCATGTTCTCCTCCATACATACTTCTATGGTTTGGCTAATTTCCAGCTTTTGACTAGATTTTTAAATGCTTTTAAAATAGCCTAATTCTTTTGCTTTGTTCGACAAGCTCAGAATGATGCGCTGAAGCAGGAAGTCGACTCTTTTCAGGAGAGGGTGGCCATCTTGGAAACCCAGGCGCTGAAGGAACCACCTCAATCCAACCCAACTCAGGTAGGTTGTTATGAATCCAGGTCAGGCAGCAAAGGATAACAAAGTTTGAGCAAAGGGATTAGTGGTTTTGAAGCCAGTTTGTCTTAATTCAATCGGAAAAGGGTTCTTTGAAGGTGCTCGTGTCTGAACAAGCAAGAAGCGAACGTGCTTGAAACCTTGCAAAAACATTTCAATGCAGAATAGGAAAGCAGACAATATCAAGATAATAGAGGGGGTAGTGAATAAGTGATTGTGTTTCCCGAGTGGTAGAGTGTCACATTGAGTTGTTTTGACAGTTCCAAGCATTTGAAAATCCATATTTTGTTTTCTTTTGGTTTCTGCCCCTTCCATCTTTCCTTCCCCCTTCCTTCCTTCCCTTCCCTTCCTCCCTCTTCTTTCCTTCCTTCCTTCCTCTTTCTCCCTCTCTCCCTTCCTCCCCTGCTCCTTCCTTCCTCTCTCTCCCTCTCGCTCCTTCCTTCCTTTCCTCCCTCCCTCTCTCCTTGCTTCCTTCCTCTCCCTTCCTCCCCTGCTCCTTCCTTCCTTCCTTTCCTCCCTCTCTTCTTCCTTCCTTCCTTCTCTCCCTCCCTCCTTCCTTTCCTCCCTCTCTCCTTTCCTCCCTCGCTTCCTTCCTTTCCTCCATTTCTTCCTCCTTCCCCCCTCCTGCCTCCCTTTCTTCCCCCTTCCTCCCTTCCTTCCCTCCCTCCCTCTCTCCCTTCCTCCCTCCTTCCTTCCCTCCTTCCTTTCCTCCCTTTCTTCCCCCTTCCTTCCTTCCTTCCCTCCCTCTCTTCCTCCCTTCCTTCCTTCCCTCCCTTCCTTCCCCTTCCTTCCTTTCCTCCCTCCATCCCTCTCTTCCTCCCTCCTTCCTTCCTTTCCTCCCTTTCTTCCCCTTCCTTCCTTCCTTCCTTCCCTCCCTCCCTCCCTCCCTTTCTTCCTCCCTCCCTCCCTCCTTTCCTCCTCCCTCCCTCCCTCTCTTCTTCCCTCCCTACCCCCCTCCCAGAGCCTGTCAGCAGAAGTTCCAGAAAGAGATCAGGAAAAGTTTGAAATCTTCATCCAGGACAGCCTACAGCGACAACTTCACGAGGCTGAGGCTGCCCATGCAGAGACAGTGTTCGAACTGGAGAAGACACGCAACATGGTCATTTTGCAGCATCGCATCAATCGGGATTATCAGGTGCAACCAAAATCTATCCAACACCTAAAATGGGGGACCTTGAGGATTAGCAATACATACAAAATAAACTATGACATGAGCAACAAAGTCATTCTTGTCACAGCTTTTTTTTTTATTTCCCAGCTGAGCTTCATTATTTTTGGACTAATAGACTTACTGTAGTTTGCCAAGTTCCTTATCAGTATTTTACTACGCATGTCCGCATTCCTTCACTTGCTTCACACACTTTTTCCTTTGTTCTCATGCCACGGGGGTGTCGACTGCTGGAAAGCAGCCGGCCCGAATTACTTTTCAAAAATGTAGCAATTACTTTTCTTAGTTAGTGAGGTGTTTTATTTTCTTTGTAACAAATAAATGAGTTTTATTAGAGAACTTTTCTTCGCGTTTCTTTTCAGAATATTGCAACAAGGAGGAGCCACGATCCATCCTCTAATTAAGCAGGGTGATTTGTCCCAGAGCCAAACATGGGATTAATCAATGCCCTGACATTTCTAAGGGTATATTTACAAGTTCCTAGTTAGATGAACAATGTTCCATCCAAGGTTAAGCTTGGATAGAATCCAATTTTGCAAATTTGCATGTCAGGAAGAGGCACAACAATTGGTATATACAGCAGTATATAGTAGTGGCCAAAATTGTGGAGACCTTTTGGGAAAAGTGTTGATGGTTTGATAGCTAAATAACACCACTTTTTTGGGTGGGAGTTTTAAGATAATCATATTCCACTGCTGAAATGGCCTGGGAATAGCCCAGACCTTAACCCAAATTAAAAATCTATGGAGCCGACTAAAGAAACTTGTTAGTCAGAAGCGACTCAGCAATAAAACCCAGTTCATAGAAGCAATCATTCAATCTTGGTTTCATATTACAACAGCTGCAGAACTGAAAGACTTGGTTCACTCCATGGGAAGATGTCGTAAGGCCGTAATTCATGCTAAAGTTACCCAACTAAGTATTAATTGACATGGTGATCGTTTTTGTATATCTCGTTTTTTCTATGGTGATCATTTTTGTATATCTAGTTTTTTCTACATGTTTCACTTTTCTGCTTTATACCGTAACTGCTATTCTAATAGCAAATCCTTCCTAAAAGTCATTGCATTACATTCTTGATTAAATTATCTTTCCATTGATATAGAATTGTATGGTACTACTCCAAAAAATAATAATGGTGTTATTAGCTAGTTTTAGAAAATACACTTTCCCCAAAAGGTTTCCACAGTTTTGGCCACTACTATACATAGGACTTATGGACTAACACTTAGGATGCGGAAGGATTTGCTAAGGTCCATGATATCACCAACTCTCATGACCTCTCCGCATCTGGTATCTTCCCTGGCCAATGACCAGACCAGTTGGAAGGATAACAATTGTCAGAGGACACCAGCTGATGAATTAATAGAGACCGTTGTCTAGTCTACAAGGCAAATAGGGGTGGAATGATGAAGACGCTGGTATGAGTTGTAATTGAGACTCTTGACTGCTCTTTTGGTTGGAGGTGGAGCTGGAGAAGGTGCTGACGCAGTCCAGACAGGAGAAACAGGAACATGAGGACCAGCAGAAGCAGATGGACCAACTTCTGGATCTGCGCAATGCCCGTATTCATCAGCTGGAAGGTATGTACATTCTCTTCCACTGCTCATTTTTCGGTATTCCACAGATCAAGAAGGACTGAAAACATTGTCCCAAAGGTGCTTTTTCAGGAGGCAACTGGACTTTCTCGTTTTTTTTCTTTTGAAGACGTTTCGCTTCTCATCCAAGAAGCATCTTCAGCTCTGACAGGATAGTGGGGAATGGAAGGATTTATACTCCTTGCAGACAGCTGGTCATTTGCATCCTTTTTAGAGGGTCGTTGAAGCACTTGGAGGTTTATCTGTGTCTTCAGGGTCACCTGAGTGCTGCAAATGGTTCCTGTAGTCTGCTATTTTTCCTCCTCTGGAAATCCATTCCTACTCCCACTCCATTCCAAGGATGTTCATCCCGAATTGTATAGCTCACTTAGTCATTAAAAGAGACAATTAGTCTTAAACAAACATATTTTATTATAACAGCTGGGAATTACTGCATTACCAGCTTAGTCCAAATTAATTCCAAAACAAGTCCTTCAGAAAAAGTCCTTCGGTCTTATCACAAACCTTTATCTTCTTTGGCACCCTGCCAAAGGCCTTGTCAGGTTTTGGTGTCAATGCAATAAATGCAATAAATTGCATTTCCAAACAAATAGTCTTTGATTAAATCTTTCATTTATTAAGCACGACAATCTGTCCCCGACTCCATCGTAGCCAACACTGACTTCCTGACCCCAAACCTTCCCTTTCTGTTCCCCAATTCTCTGCGTTTCATTGGCCATCTTCCAAATCACTCTCCCCATATCTACTACTTCAGCTCCCAGGATGTCCCCCCCTCCCATCCCATCTCCTAGGGGATATTATCTTCAGGGAAAATAAGTAGGTGAAAATTCAAGCGTCCTCTTGCCAGCTGTCCCCTCTTCTCCTCCTTATGTCAGCACTGGAACGAATGTAGTTTGGAGTGCTGACAGGCCTTTCTTGGCAAAGCCCCACAAAGTTCAGAAACAAGAGACGCCGACTGGAAACAGATTTAGCAATGTTGCTTTCCTACAAAGAGCCCAAGAGCCTTTGCTGCTCTTTTAAGCCTTATGGGAGGGGCCAATCATCTCGTGGCCTTACTCCTGAGTTGTCCTTTTTGCTTTAGCTGTTCTTGCCTTCTGGCAGCTCTGCGCATGCGTGCACTAGGAACAGGCTCCTCCTGTACCTCTGCCTCTCTGCTGTCCGACTCTGGAGGCTCCGGAATCCGTTCATTGCTTCCAGATGGCCCTGGCCCCATCTCTGCCTCTGACGCAGAGCCCTCATCCGGGCCTTCCCCAGACTCCAGGACTGGCCCATTGTCCTCCCCAGCCTCCTTACTGTTGGACTCCACTGCCAACTCCGCAGGCTGCTGGTGGACCACCACAGGTTGTCCCAAAGGTGCTTTTTTTTCAGGAGGCAACTGAAAAACATGTCCAGTTGCCTGCTGAAAAAGCATCTTTGGGACAATCATGACCTGGATGGCTGAGAATCTCTCCAAATTGAAAGTATTGTTCCGCATCTCAAGAAGGAAAGGTGTAAATGTTGAGGTATACAACCTTGGCTTTGAGATTGAAATCCAAGCATTCAAGCACGGTGGCGCAGTGGTTAGAATGCAGTACTGCAGGTCACTTCTGTTGACTGCTGGCTGCCTGCAATTTGGCAGTTCAAATCTCACCAGGCTCAAGGTTGACTCAGGCTTCCATTCTTCCAAGGTGGATAAAATGACCCAAAGGTTCAGGAGCAAAAATCCCATTAACCCTCCAGTACACGCGATAAAAGGATGACGGCACATAGAAGCAGACAGAATTTTTGGTTTGCTGCAGGTGGATAATTTAAGTTCAGCTTTTTATTTCATAAATATGAGGAGGACTCAGATAGACATTGAGTATTTTATTTGAAAGTAACCTTCAACCCAGCATCTTTTTGTTTTTTGTTTTTTTGGAGTTCAAAATGTTTTTTTGTTGCATGCAGAAATAAAAATGTGTTTTCTCTGGAGCAGTTCATTGATTTCATAAATGCAACACACTATAGTTTTTTTTATACACAGCATAAAGGTAAAAAACGATATATGTAGTGTTATCTTCATTTTAGATGTCAAACTGATTTTGTGGCTCCCGGTGTTTTCTTTTCTGTGGGAAACAAGTCCAAAGAACCTGTTCAGGCTCTTTGAGTGTTTGAGGATGCCGATGCCTGCCCTAGTCAATGTGATGATCCAGAAGTACTAGCTTGTCTGTAGACATCTCCCTTGGTTTAGTCAACCTTCTTGCCCTCTCACATTAAAAAAGGGTGCATGCTTTGTGTGTCTTGATGTTTTGTGAATGTGGAAGCTCCCTTCCTTGTCAACCCCCACATGATCAGAATAACATATCTGTCAGTAGGGTGGCCTTCTGTTCTGTCCCCGTCTCACACACGCACACAAATAGATAGCCAGGGGTTAAATAAAACTGGCAGACAACAAATTCTTTCGATAAAAGGATTGGCAGCAACCCAGTAGCTGCTTGCCAAGAACTTTACTCATAGAGGGAGGGGTTGTTCCTCCGACAGATAAACCCAAACAAGATACACACAGTTCAAGAATTGTCAAGTCCAGTCCATATTAAATCCAAGGCAGATAACGTTGTTTCAAAGATACAATGTGACTCGCTAGTAGTTAGTTTTGTCCGTCACAGAGTCTGAATGGCCATCTCACCCCCTTTTATTCCCTGTGGGGTGTGGTCCAGTGACTCAGCTTAATCTCTGGCACGCCTCCTTTTCTGCTGCGTGCGTCTGTCTCTCCGACACTGGCGTGGATCCAGCCAAGACTTATCTCTGTCACTGTCCGACTGCGAGGAGATACCTGGCTCCTGGCCAATCTCTTCTCCTTCGGGAGACACCTGAGGCATTGCCAGAGAGGAGGGTCCTGGAGAGGGAGGCCTGGCCAACTCCTCTCCTTCATGTTCGGAGCCTTCTCCCTCTGATAATTTGGCCTCGGGGATCGGCGTCACAACACCTTCTGCTCCATTGGATCTGATGCCAATACCTAATGACTTCCACCAGACATGAGTTGGGTTTTCTTGAGAATTCCTTCTTAAAAAGATCCGTTAAATATAGGTGAATGTTTGTGGGGAGTTCTAAGGTTTTCTGTGTCTCTTCTCCCAGAGAAGTTGAAGGACATGGCATATGGAACAAGAGTCGTCAGACTACGGCCCCCCGACTGTGACGTTGACGACGAAGGAGTCCCTAACAAACTTCTGAAATTGCAACACGGGGAGAACCTCTTTGAGTTGCACATCTCTGGGGCAATCTTGTCGGCCGAGGCCGTCCAACTTCTGGGAGACCCCGAGCTTCTCACCTTTTGCACCTACGCTTTCTACGACTTCGAGACCCACTGCACGCCTCTGGCCCATGGCGTTCGGCCCCGCTACGAATTCACTTCCCAATATGTGGTCCGGGTGGACCCTTTCTTCATGCAATACTTGCATGGGGCCACTTCTCGCCTGGACCTCCACCTGGCCTCTGCTGTGGACCACACCACCCTGGCCTCCTGCTGGTTGCATTTTGGCCAAGTGCTGAACAGGGAAGAGCAAGTTCGTTGCACAGCAGTCTTGCGTGGTAAGAAGAGCGGTTATGATCCCAAGCCTACCATCAGATGGGTCTTGACTGCCATATGAATGGAATGGAATGGAATAGTAGGATAGGATAGGATAGGATAGGATAGGATAGGATAGGATAGGA